TTATCCCTAAGGCATCAGTTTTATTACCTGAGAGAACCACAGAGTAGAACCCAGAAGAAATATTTTCTGTTTGCAGTGGGTAGATTGGTTTTGCTCTCACATGTTTTCATTACCAAACTAAGCACTTTGCACTAGAGTGATACTTTATGTCTTTTTAAAAAATTATCATTAATTAATTTATTTATTTTTGGCCGCGTTGGGTCTTCATTGCTGTGCAGGCTTTCTCTAGTTGCGGTGACCAGGTCATTGCGGTGTGTGGGCTTCTCATCGCGGTGGCTTCTCTTGTTGCGGAGTTTGGGCTCTAGGCACGTGGGCTGCAGTAGTTGTGGCTCGCAGGCTCAGTAGTTGTGGCGCACGGGCTTAGTTGCTCCGCAGCATGTGGGATCTTCCCGGACCAGGGCTCGAACCCGTGTCCCCTGCATCGGCAGGCGGATCCTTAACCACTGTGCCACCAGGGAAGTCCTTTATGTCTTTTTACCTGTCTGTCTTCCCAAGCACTTGGGTGTGCAGCACAGCGCAGGGGTGAGAGCACGGGCTTTGGGGCTGGGCTGCCTGAGTGTGGCAGCTCTGCCACTCATTGGTCCGGGGACTTCGGGTGAGTTTTGTCCCCCATATGCCACAGTCTCCTCATCTATAAAGTGGGATAAACCTCATAGCTTTAATGCATGTAAAGCTTCTAGAACAGTCTCTGGCATGTAGTAAGCGCTCAATAGCTGGGTAGCTGTTGTTGTTATCTCCTTTGAGTCACTCAGCGGCCGTGGTGGGGCAGAGTTTATTCCCGTTTGACAGGGGAGAAAAGATCACATCATGGACAGTAAAGCTGGTCTCTTGGCCCTTCATCCTGTGCTTGTTCTGTGACCCCACACGTCCCTCCTTACGTTGCCCCAGAGAGAAAGGGGAGGAGAAAAGGGCAAGCAGAAACCAGGGAAGGAGAGGAGAAGTAAATCCATCAGCAAGACGCCTCCCACTGGAACTAAGGTAAACCCAAACTCCCTAACAGGACCAGATGAGGCCTGTCTCCCCACTCTCCCCTGTACATTCCAGCTGCCGCAGACCTCTCCCACCCCTCAGGCATACCAACCTTGGAGCTTAAGCCTACTCAGGCACCACGTCTAAGTCTAAGCATTAGGTCCTGAGAAAGCTATTCTGGCCTCTGTGTTAGTTAGGATATGGGTTCCACTGCTCTAACAGAAATCCAAATAGCAATGGCTGAAACAGGATAGAACTCTCCTTTTCTCTGATGTAAAAGCCCTGGCTGACTGGTGCCTCTGCCATACAAAGGGGTCCTGCTCCTTCCATCACCCCCAGGGCGTTACCGTCCCCTGCAGTAGAAGGGGCTGACCACCTGGCCCGCATTCCCGCCAGCCGGGAGGCAGGAAGGGGAGGGCAGGGGCGCAGCACTTCCTGCTAAGGCAGGACCTGGAAGTGTGCACGTCCCTTCGACGTCCATCCTGTCGGCCAGAACCTAGTCACCTGGCCACATCCCGCTACATGTTTTTATCTTGGGCAACCATGTGCACCGTTATTATGAGGGGCTCCATTCATATGCGGGAGAAGGGAAGAGTTGATTTTTCGGGGGCAAGTGGCAATCCCTGCCACCCCTCCTAGTCCAAATAAGACTTGCCAGTTATGTTTCCACAGCATCCTGACTTTTCTTTCATAATGCTCATTGCACTATGACTCTGTCACTATTTTTACTTATTTGTAGTGTATCTGTTTTACCCTCCCATTAATATGAGGGCAGGAATCGTATTATATACCCAGTGCCTGGTTGACAGTAACTGTCTACGAATATTACTTGACTTCCTGATAGGATTACACAGCACAAACCAAGCGTTTAGGTGGGACTCAAAGAAGGAAGACATTTATTTTCATTCTGGTCCCAACCATTTCAAACCAGGCTGTGGACAGACGGTCTCACATGGAATTACGTCGGTACCTCCTGTTAGCTCTGCCTTCAGTGTGAATCCACGGTCCAGCCGCTTAACTTCCCTGCTCCTGAGACCACCTGCACGCCTAGTCTGTGGTGGCTAGCCTTGCCCCAAAGCCTGAGGTCTCTCTGAAGCGTAAATCCCATCACTGTCACTCCTGCTTCAACCTTCCAGTGGATTCACATTTCTTATGGAACCAGAGCCTCCCTTATCCTTTGCTCTTGAGCCACGCCTACCCTTCTCCCCTGGGGACACCCCGAGCCCCTTTCTGACATTTGAACATTTCTGCCCCTGCTGTTACCATTCAGATCTCAACTCAGATTCTCCTGCTCAGAGAGGTCGCCCTGGAGAGGTAAACCCACACGCCAGTCACCTCACAGCCTGGAGTGCTTGAACTTGTCCATGCCTCCAACAAATAATGCAGACCGCACCTCCCTGAGGGGTCTATAGAAACACTTGTGTGAGAGATTGATTCCTGGTATCTGAAAGTAGTACTAACAGATGCTTTGGAAACTTGGGGATGTGTATCCTGGAGCCTAGAACCAAGGTGAGGGGAATAGGATAAGGCTGAGTAGGGGTCTGTGGCCGCAGGATGCCTGCTTCACAGCATTGCACTCCCACTTTTTAATCCCCACAATAGTTGCTTGCTTTGCACGCCACAGAAAGATTTATGCAGAAAATGCCAAGTTCTACCTGCCACTTAGTGACACGCCAGACTCCTGGAGCCCCCAGATTGGAAGGTGTATCAGTCAGGGTTCCACAGAGAAACAGAGCAGTAGGGGATATATGTCAGGAGACTTAGTGCAAGGAATCGCCTTGTGCAGCCGTGAGGGCTGGCGAGACAGGGCTGAAATCCACTGTGCAAGCTGATGGGAAGGGCAGGCCAGGCTAGGACACGAGCTGCAGCTGTGGCCACAGGCGAAATTTCTTCTTCCTCAAGGAAACCTCAGTTCTGCTCTTTAGGCCTTTCTTTTGACTGAACCAGGCCCTCCCTGATTACCAAGGATCATCCCTTTTACTAAAAGCCAGCGTGCACGGGGTCTCAGGAGCGAGAAAGTAAAGAAGTGGCTGGACCGTGGATTCATGTTGAAGGCAGAGTTAACAGGATGTACCGACGTAATTCCACGTGATTCCATCTGTCCACAGCCTTGTTTGAAATGGTTGGGACCAGAACGAAAATAAATGTCTTCCTTCTTTGAGTGCCACCTAAACGCTTGGTTTGTTCTGTGTGATCCTTTCAGTAAGCCAACTTGATCACATCTCTAAAATACCTGCCCAGCAGCACCTAGGTTAGCATTTGTGAATAAATGGGGAAAATATCCTCGCCAGGCTGACACCTAACAGTGACCATCACTGAAAGGGAGATTCCTGATTTCTGTGGGAGACACATTCTGAATAATTTCAGGAAACGATAGAAACGATGCTACTGCCCATTTCCCCAAATGCCCCGTCTCTCTAGCTAACAGCTCAACAGCAGCATTAATTGAACTTGATTTCATAATTATTATGAGTTCACTCCGGTTTGGTTGCTGAGATACAAAGCAATTCATTTGGAGACAATTTTCCTAAGATGTCCCGCAGATATTATAATGTTCCAGAAGTATGTTCAGTAATAATTTATAAGTAATGGCTCCCAGAGTTAACACATTTCTGCTCCAAGCAATATACTTTCTTTGACTACTGTCAACCACTGTATAATATTTATTAAGTCACTAACTGATAGTCTAATGCTGCTTGTGCATTTCCAGCAGAGTTTATCTTGCAGGTCTTCGACAGTATTTGATTTGAGGCTTTTGGGATGGTTATAATGTGCTTTTACCCTCTTGACACACAAGGAATTTAATATTTATTGTAAAAAATAGGGGGGTAAAACAGAAAGAGGTAGAGAAGAAAATAATCACCCTAACCTACCACCAAAGAACATTCTTTCATATATGTGTATATATAAAATCTGTAAATGGTACCTTAATGCAATTCTGAATCCTGTTCTTTTAAACTTAACATTATTTTGTGATTAAATAATCCATATAATTAAGTTGTTTATGAATATTTTAATGATTTCATATAACTGTACCATGATTTATTTAACCATTCTCTCATTGTTAGATGTTTACATTGTTTCCAGTTATTTGCAATTGTAAAGAATACCAAGATACAGACTTGTAACTAGTAGTTAAATAAGTTCTGGGTGGGGGGGGGAATCTAATGCACAGCATGGTGATTATAGTCAACAATACTGTATTATAAACTTCAAAGGTGCTAAGAGACTAGATATTAATTGTTCACACCACAAAAAAGAAATAATTATGTGAGGTGATAGAGGTGTTAGCTAATGCTACAGTGGTAATCACATTGCAACATACAAATGTATTAAATCACATTGTACACCTTAAACTTACACAATGTTATATGTCAATTAAAAATAAAGAAGACCAGGATGAATATCTTTATGTTAATCTTTGCACACATATATGAGTGTCACCTTAGAATTTATTCTTGGAAGTGAAATTATAGGAAGAAGGGGTATGAAGTATATAAGCCTTTTGATAAATATCAACCAGCTGGTTTCTGGGTTAGAAAATTTTTGAAAAATTCTCTCATGATACTCGACCACATTTATAAAAGATGATTTGAGAAATAGAAGAGTCAGTATAGTCATTTCCTAAAGAGCTTATGAGCAACTGAGTATATTTATCTTGAAATGGAAGTAATTATTTATTTCCTTAAAATATAAGATGCTCATTTCTATAGTTGTTATAGATACAACCCAGAATTTGCGTCAGTTCTCTTCTGTGAGCCTTAAATGTTTAGCTAGGACACTGCCTTTCCCTAGTGGCTTTCATCTGCCTGCCTTTCCAAGTGATATCAGGTGCCAGCATGCCGTCCCTGGGCCTTATCGGTGACAGGGTCTCCAGAAGGAACGAGCCCATAAACGCGAAGTCATTGTGTGCGAGGGATGGGCCGCCTCAGCCAGCCGCTGATTACCTGCTTCTGGAGCCCAGCCCAGCGACACTGCTTAGGAAGAGGCTTTGAGATCTAATTAAGATCCGTTTCCCTGCTCTGTCACAGCACCCCGTAAAGACTGCCAGGCAATAATGAAGGTTCTTTTACTGAAAGACCCTAAGGAGGACGACTGTGGCCAGGATCCCTACATCAGGGTAAGTACCTGACACACCTGTTCCCCGAAAGCCCAACACTGCCTTGTGATTGAAGTCAAGGGGAGGGTCCATCTGCTAAAACTCTGAGGAACTGGCACAGAATAAGTTGTGAAATAGGACCTTTTCCTTATTTTCCAAACAACCCTGGCCAATTCAAAACCATATTCTTTTACCTGCAGGAATTAGGATTATATGGACTCGAAGCCACTTTGATCCCTGTTTTATCATTTGAGTTTTGGTCTCTTCCCAGTTTTTTGGAGAAGGTAAGATTCATCAGTGTCTGAGCACCATCGTTTCTGAATGAGACACGTTTGGTTTCTGTAGACTCCTACAGAATTCTAGGGGAAGGACCCGTTTGCTAGCCCTCTTCTCACTACCCAACTGTAAAACAAGGACGGCACGAGCTCACCTGCTCCAGGACTTGGCTGCTACTGGATCCTCGGCCCGAGCCTCTACCAGCGGCCCCAGAAAGCCACCCAACCTGGAGGTGGGCCCGTAAGGAAGCCCGGGAGAGCCAGTCATGCTGAGGCACCAAGCCTGTGCTGCTCTTGGCCACGCAGACCCTTCACCTTCCTCCTGTCATTCAGTCCACGCCCCTGACCTCAGCGAAGCGCAGAAGAGCTGTTGTTTCTCCCCAGGTTGGGCAGCTTGGTGGAGTTCTCCAGCAGATAAGAGGGAGAGTTGGGCCTGCTTCCATGTATTGGAGCCATAGTTATGGCCAGGGAAAGTCCCAGGAAAGCCCTCCAAACGCTTCCGACTAAGGATTCAGGGCCCAGCACCCCAGGCCCCATCAGTGTGCACCTTGTCACCGGACATCTCCCCGGAGACACCGTTCTGGACACGTGGGCCCAGAGCCAGGGCGGCTTCATGGGACTGGTGTGCCCAGCCCTGCCCACCGGGCTCCCGGGCCGCTGTGAGCATCAGGTTCACCCCCGTGCTCTGCATGTCAGAGCCCACCTGTCACTCTGCAGAGGACCTCTCTGCGATCTCCCTTCGCTCTGAGCTGAAGATTGAATTATTCGTTCAGCAGTTTACTCAGCAAACATTGATTTGGCATCTGCCCCGGGTCTGTGTGCTGTGAGGAATGTATAAGGGACCCACATCGCGTGCTCTTCCGTAAGCAGCTTTAACAGGGAACCAGAGCTCATCACTTGAAATCTTTGCTAGGACCCTGTGCTCAGAAAAATACTAGAGTCTCTGTGGGAGCTTCTCCATCACCCCCAGCCAGTTTGTTTCATGAGGGGCTTCCTGGACTCCCTCTCTGAAGCTCCTGTTGGGCAGTGAGCGAGCGCACGGGCTTGGGAATCATAGGGGCATGTGCTCAAGTGCCGGCTCTGCCCCTCACCTTGGACTAGTTCTTTATCCTCGCCAAGCCTCTGTGTCTTAATCCGTGCGATGCAAATAGTGCCACCCATCTCACAGGGCACTTTCACAGATTCAGTGCAGGATTATGTGTATAACAGCCCAGTGCCCAGCTCAGAATACGTGTTCAGTAGATTTTATCACCATTTTTATGCTCAAAAACCAGGGCTTCAGCGTGGATATCACTCCTTGAATATTCCAGCTTTCTTATGGATGCAGGTCAAGTCTACCGTCCTGCATGCACCCCAGCCACACCCAGGCTGAGTCACATTGTCCCTTGGCTCCGTTACACCTGCCACCCTGCATCACACTGGCCTCTCCCTCCCCAAGACTGTGAGCTACTTGAGGGAAATGCTGTGAATTTACCTGTATGTCCTTAAAGGCCTAGAGTAGTTCCAGGCGCATAGTAAGCTCTGTCTTGAGTGGATGGATGGATGGATGGATGGATGGATGGATGGAATTAGTTTGCCTGCTACTATTGTGAAGCATTTAGAATTTTGGAAAATGTTGAACTTGACTATCATATAAAATGCCTTTGCTGTTGTTTGGTGTGCAGCTGTCTCACCCTGAAGGTTACGGGGGCCTCATTTTTACCAGCCCCAGAGCAGTGGAAGCAGTGGAGCTGTGTTTGGAGAAAGACAATAAAACCGAAGGTAAGGGTGGGTCTGCTGTGAATGCCACTGGACTTTGCTTTGTCCTGTTGGTGATACTAGATTCCAGAAATAGCTGGACTTCAGGTTTGAGAAAGTGCAATGACTTTTAGTCAAAAACTATTTAGGTACCAAGTTACTTCGTGTTTTTGGAACCTTTGGAGGGAGCAGAAGATGAAATTCCTTCTTCTAAACTGTTTCTTAGTGTCCCACACAGAATGACATGTTACATGGTAGCCTTCTGACCGGGGTGAGCGCTTCGTGGCACTGTGTCACCAGGAAGCAGGAGACGGAGCTACCTTCTAAATGCCCAGACGGGTGCCGCTGTGGGGGGTCTCCACGTGCACCCACCAGGTGGTCATAGTATATGGGCGCCCGTCTCTTTCCTCACAGGGACGATGGGAAGGTCCAACAGCACATGAGAGCAGTGTGTGCCGAGCCAGCACTCGACGATGCGACCCTGCTCAGGCCTCCTTCTCGCTTCCTTCCCTCTCTGTCAGAGCCCGGCTCTCAGGCTGAACACCACCTTAGTCTGTCCCATCAGACAGCTTTGAGCTAACGTGTGGAGTGCCTGCTGTATACCAGGCTCTGTGCTAGCTTGACATTCACAATCTCATTCAATCCTGGACCGGCCAGAGGCTCACCTACCGTGGTCCTCATTTTACAGATAAGAATGCTGAGGCTTGGGGAGAGTCAGCACCTGTCCAAGGCCCTGGAGCCAGTCTGTCAGGCCGGACCAGCTCCAGTTATACTAACAGGGGGAGGTAGCGGGACGGGTGGTTATCAAAGGGCTTTGCAGCCGGTTAGGCCTGGCCTCAGATGGCCATTCTGACCTTGGTGGCTTCCTTGACCTCGCTGAGCCTCAGTTTCCTTGTTTGTAAAGTGGGCACAATAATACTTGCGTCCCAGGATCGTCACTTCTACCACTAGTTAGAGCTTCTCTAGGGCCTACTGTGTGCCAGACCAGGTCCTAGCTGCTTTATCCCTGAGGTGGGTATGATTAGTATCCCCACCTGACAAATGAGGAGCCTGTAGAGCAGAGGGCATGAAACTCCCCAAGACCACACGGTCTGTAAGTTACAGCTTTATGATTCTAGCTGCAGAGTCTGGGTCCCAAAGTGAAGCATTCAGGACATCTCCTGGTGCGTGGTGAGCACTGAGTAAGTGACAGTGCAGAGTGGTCATTATCTTTACAGTTAATTAGGCTTTCATTACAGCCCAAAAAATCACCAACTCGGTGATTTCATATACACAGTTACCTCCTACTGAGGAGAAAGTCTAACGCTTTTCTTAGGGATGAGGACTTGTGCTGTCCAATCCTCAAGGCAACTCAGAACCGGAAGTACTGTTATTTCCAAAATGGAGAAAGGAGACTCGAGATGGAGCAGCGTGTGTTCTCCCCCGCTGGTGCTTCAGGAGTCTTGGTCTGACAGCTGTGCTTTCCCTTTTGTATGTGTTTTGAGGATGAAGATGATGAAAAAGAAGAAATCCCCAGCACGGACACCATAACTTTTTATAATGCTTTATAGTTTACAAGGCATTTTCCCATACATTTTCTTTTTTTCTTTTTTTTGATTGACGTATAGTTGGTGTACAATATTATGTAAGTTACAGGTGTACAGTATAGTCCATACGTTTTCTTATCTTGATTGTTACAACCACTCTGAATACAGGCAGGAGAGGTGTAGTCAATCCCCGCTATCTCGACAGGGAGACAGAGGAGGTGGGCCAGCTGACTTGCCAGGAACGAGCCCAAGTTAAGGGGCAGAGCCAGCTCTGAAGCCGGGCATTCTGATTTCACCCAGGGCTTGCTCCAACTCATATCTACTATGATGCTTGGAGAATGGTTTGTTCCCATGCTGTAGATAATGTTTAAATAAATATTATTTACGTTTGTGGGGTAGGAAAGGAAAGAAGGTGAAACTCAGTCTTTTATCGCTTTTTAAAAGGGAATTTCTCACAGGAGTGTAAAGGGTAGGGTAACACTATTGAATTTAAGGGAAAATTACACTCATAGTCAGATCTTAGGAAGGAAGAACCAGTGTTTCCTTATCTTCTAAAAGAATGTTGAATGCCAAGTGGCCTTGTGATACGTTTATACTATCCACTTCCTCTTGGTTTTTCTTTAATCCATATTTAAAGGTGTTTGTTTTTTGTCATCAAATGATAGTGTTCCCTATTAAACTGTGTTTGTTTATGAGCCTTATATTATTCTCTTCTTTGACCTAATAGATAAATGAGCCTTCCCATCTGAGATGACAGTTTCTTGACTGCTTTCAGATTTATATCCCGAATAAAACCAGTCATATTGCTTTATTAGACATTTAAGTTGCCTCTTTTTCACAACCAGTAATTTTTTCTTTAAAAGTCTAGATTATGGGGGGACATCCCTGGCTGTCCAGTGGTTAGGACTCAGCACTTTCACTGACATGGCCCCGGGTTCCGTCCCTTGCTAAGATCCCGCAAGCTGCATGGCACGGCCAAAAAAAAAAAAAAGAAAAAAGTCTAGATTTTTAAATTTTAATATTACCATGCAAATTAATTCTTCAAGTTATGTTTACTAGTATGCACTAAAAATCCTTTTAGTGCCAACTGTGGAAATGATTTAATACTTAATGCCTTCAATAAGGAAGGCATATTGAAACATTTGCCAAAGTGATTTTTAAAAATTTGCCTTCAGAATATGGACAGAATATAAAAATGGATTTTAGTTTGAGATGCTGTTCTTTATATTTGGTTATTAATAATTTTCCTTGCTCACAAGTTTTTTAGGATGAACAAACAGCCTTGGGCAGCAGTCCAAATGGCTGCTTTGGTATTTGCAACTCACATCAAATTTCATGTTTTACAGTCTGGAGAAAGTCTCTGCAAGAAAAATGGAATGCTAAGTCAGTGTATGTGGTGGGAAATGCTACTGCTTCTCTAGGTAAGCAGTCAAGGTACAAATAAAACACCAAAGAATGACTGTGATATTGTGATTATAATAAGAAATATGTATTTGGTCTTTGTCCCTGTTCCTGGCACAGAGCTCCTAAAACCCTTGGAATTTCCTGAGTGATAAAAAAGATAAGGTGGGGCTTCCCTGGTGGTGCCGTGGTTGAGAGTCCGCCTGCCGATGCAGGGGACGCGGGTTCGTGCCCCGGTCTGGGAAGATCCCACATGCCGCGGAGCGGCTGGGCCCGTGAGCCATGGCCACTGAAAGCCTGCGCGTCCAGAGCCTGGGCTCCACAGCGGGAGAGGCCACAGCAGTGAGAGTCCCGTGTACCGCAAAAAAAAAAAAAAAAGATGTATTTTGTTATTCATAACAAACCTCTTTCAACTCCACCTGAGTTGACTTTAATGGGGTGACTTTTGGAAAGCCCCTTAAGTTGGAGGCTAGTTGCCATGGGAACCAATCCTCCGATTAGAGTAGGAACTTTCAGCCTCATGCCCTCCCTGCCTCCTACTTCCAGGGAGAAGACATCAGCCAGAGGTTGAATTAATCAATCAATCATGGCTGTGTATGAAGCCGCCATAAAAATCCAGAAGTACAGTAATGCGGAGGGTACTGGGAGGCTGGAGCCAGGAGAGGGCACGGAAGCTCAGGCCCTCCCCGCATACCTGCCTGCTGCACCTCTTCCATCTGGCTGTTCATTTACACCCTTTGAAATATCCTTTGTAATAAATCTGCAGTAGTTAGTAAACCATCTTCCTGAGTTCTGTGAGCTGTTCTAGCAAATGATCCAACCCAAGGAGTGGGTTGTGAGAACCTCCGATTTAGAGCTGGTCAGTCAGAAGCACAAGCAGAGACCTGGGTCTGAAGTGGGAGCAGTTTGTGGGACTGAGGCTTCCATCCTCGGGATTTGACGCTACCTCCCAGTAGAGAGTGTCAGACTTGAGTTCACTTGTAGGACACCTAGCTGAGAACTGGAGAATTGCTTGGTGTGGAAAACCCACACATTGGGTAACCAAAGTGCAGACGTGTGGTGATGAGGGCAGAGAAGGAAAAGAGGAGGTTTCCTTCCACGCTGACTTAGTCTTGTTCATTGAACACTATAGTTCAGTTTAAAACATGATTTTTTTCCTTTTTAAATTTACAAAAAGTAATTAATGAGTTAACTATGTAATGCTGCTAAGGGTGCGGTGAAACAAATGTATTCAAATATTGCTAAATGGCACTGAAATTTGGTTCACATCTTTTGAGAAGTACTTGGTTGGCATGTATTTAAAAGCTTTGCCAAAATAGTTGTACCCTTTGGCCCACTAATCCCTTTGCTGGTAAAATCTGTCCAAGCTGTTTCGAAGAAAACTTACAGAGAAGTTATAAATACAAGGCAAAGAACAGTTTCTCCTGAACCTTTTGAGACTAAGTTGCTGATAATGACGCCTCACCATCCGAAGCCACAGGTCTAGGGAGGGCAGGGCTGGGACCCAGCTCCCTCTCGTCTCCCTACACCAGCCTCCAAGGGGAGACTTTCTCCATGTCATTTGTAAGGCATGTGCCTTTGTATTTGCACATTTTAAAAACAACACAGGAACAGGACTTTAATAACCATGTAAAGAAATATATTTTGTTGTTGTTGTTTTCCAGTGAATAAAATTGGCCTGCATACAGAAGGAGAAAACTGTGGAAATGCAGAAAAGCTTGCAGAGTACATTTGTTCTAGTAAGTAGAACAAGGTCGCCCCAAATGAAGCCCATTTATTTTTGTTGGTCGGTCTCACAACCAGCACCTCGGGAAAGGGCCACCTCCTCGGTGATGATGGTGACGATGTGGCTGAGGAGTGTGTGCCGCTCCAAGACCGTGGCTGCCTTGTATCTGCATCTGTCTGTGCTGGTCTGAGATCCAGCCGACTGCCCTCCACCCCCTCCACCCAAGGACTTGAGACAACTTGAACGTGACACAGAATAAAAGGGCTGGAGACAAAACCAGAAGCAAGGCCCTCTGCAGGGATCGTAAGGGGAGTGGAAGCAGCAGAAGCTGCTGGCACCGTCCCTCTGTCTGCCGGCTCCCCGCCTTCCTGGTAGGAGTCTCCTCCCTGTCCAAATTCCCCCCCCCACAAAGCCCGCTCCCCCTAAAGAGCCCACTCAGCCCCCCATAAGCTCATCACTGGGCAGCATATGGGCTGAGACTTAAAATGGCAAGGGTTCTGGGGATACTTGTATTTAAATAAGGATTAAGCTTTAATTATGAAAGTTTCAGCTTCTGACGAAACATGGGCCAAGATTTTTGGAGCAGAACTCTCTGAGAGAGAGGACGGAGAGGCTCGATGTGTACTTGCAGGGGAGCCCCACCTCCAAGTTGTGTGTCCCAGCCTCTCCCCTACACGTCTGATCCAACTGCACACACATGCTCTTGTGTCCTTGTCACTTGGATCCCTCCCTGAGAGACGTGTGACATCATACCCCCACGTGAAAGATGACACAGAACCAGCTTGTCTTCTGTCACTGAGAGGGAATCAGAGCTTCGCTCCTCGGGGTCAGGGGGTGTGGAACTGTCTGCGAGGGCCAGATACGCCGTCTCTGCGGCCACATCCTCTGCCCGTCGTAGCACGAGAGCAGCTGTAGACCATGGGCTGGGTTCTGGCCTGGGTTTGCGGTTTGCAGACCCTTTCTAGAGCTTGCTGAGTTAGGAGACAGGGCCAGGTTGGCTGCTGACGCCTGAGGTTTTGCTCTGAGGTGGTCCCAGGAGAGGGGTGTCTTCTCTGCCCCTGGGGTGGTGGTTTCAGGGTGGGCAGGGGGCAAGGACACCTTAACCAGGAATTTTTACGGCTTCTGGGACCGTGGTGCATGGTTTTGTGTCTGGGTGTGGTGTGTAAGAACATTTCTTCTCCAGATAACGATCTCTAAAGTCTTAGGAGGCCTTCCTGTCACTGTCACGAGCCAGTGCTGTTGGTGAAGGTTCTCGAGCTCGTGTGTTTCTGTTGACCCCTAGGAGCTGGACCTGAAAAAGTCGCACATCCTCCACTTCCCCGTGGACCAGGCCCCCTGGAGCTCAGGCAGGGGATGGCAGAGGGACTCCCCAGGTTCCCAGTTGGCTCTCCTTTCTCCACTTTTCTTTTAAGAATAATTTTATTTCCTCTTTCCTGGGTCACTGTATGCGCTGTGTTAACATCGAGGACGAGACGTTCCTGGGTGGTCGGCGTGTTCCTGGCGCTCCCCCTGCCTCGCCTCATTTGGTCCTCACTACCGTCCACTGCAGTCCAGTATGGCAGCCAGGAGCCACATGGGCCTACTTAAATTTAAATTAATTTAAATTAATCGAAATAAAAATGTGGCTCCCCCGTCGCACCAGGCACAGGCCACAGCTCAGCCGTCACTGGCGGCTCAGGCACCACAGGGGCAGCCTAGGGGCACCCAGCGTCACCCAGCGCTCTTTTCGACGGTGCTGTTGTCCAGGCTACGGGGACCGAGTGACCGTCCAAGGTCCCAGAGCTGGGAGGGGACAGGCGGGAGGGCAGACTCCACACGGCACGGCCAGTCTTCACCCCCTGGGTCCTAATGAGTCTTCAGTTCGCACTTGGCATCCACATGAGAGTCCGTCTTGACTGCTGGCAGGACGTTCTCCTTGGTTCTACCCAGGCGTTAATGATTTTCTCCCCCAGTCAGCTCTGAAGCTTGATTTTTAAAAGCCAAGAATCTACTTCCAGTGCTTGGAGTAAACAGGCCAGTTCATAGTTATTGCTTATTTATTTTACTTAAACACTTATTCATTCTGTCACAGGCACTGTTATAAGCGCTTAAAGCTATTAGCTCATTAAATCTGAAAGCTCGTCGTTCTGACAGACAGTTCTTCCCTCCTGGGATAGCTCCGCTAAGGGAAAAGGAAGTATCAATACAAGTTAAGTAGTCCAAGGTGGAAGACAATTTCAGCATTTTGAGAGAGAGCGAAGGAGGGGGAGGGCGTCAGAGGCAGACAGATTGTGTGTGTGTGGTTATTTGAACTGTCCCCCTGGACTTGCGCTGAGCTGACCAAGGGCTCGTCCCTGCAGCCTCGCCCACTTGCTGGGCTCTCCTTCTGTCGCCCAGTCAGTCTCGTGGTCCTAATTACCTACGTTAAGTGCCCACCGCCTGCACAACTGGACCCTCCCTCACAGCAGGCCTGAGAGGGCGTGGTCGTCGCAGTCCTGGAGGGTGTGAGAGTTCTACAGACACTCACATCTCCTCCAGCGAAATGACATTTACACGCTCAGTCTAGTTCTTAATCACCAGCAGTGACTGTGTACAGAGCCCCCGCTCCAGCTGCATAACGTCCTCTTAGGACTTTCAACACAGCTGCTGTCCTCAGCCCGACAGCCCAGCGGGCCAGGCCCCCTTCCCGTTAAAGGAACGCGGAGCGGAGCGTCTGAGCCCCGTGGTTCACCATCCCGCGTCGGGTTAGACCCCTGCCGGGCCCCTGTCGCTCCCCGTCGTCCTGGGGACACCTCACCTCTCACCCCTGTGTAATCAACCGGCTTTTACATTGGCCTATTTAGCTTTGGCCTGTTTGGGTTAAAAATCAGTAGGCAGTGAGGTCATCCCAAAAAGGATATTTTTTTAAAATAATGAATCATTTATTTTCCATAAACGATCTTATGACAAAGAGGAAGGGTTGGGTGGTTGAGCTGTGCCGTTTTTGGAGATGCTGTCAGTTCACATGGTGATGAGATGGGCCAGAGAGGTCCTCATCCACCAGAGTTTGTTTCCCGTAAATGTACCCAGTAATCTGCTCCATCGTTCAGTCATGGAAGAGTCCCGCGAGGAGTTTTGCTCAGGACATAATCCATTCGGGAGTGCTGATTATTTGCCTTTGGCTTCTTGGAGGAGGTTAGCACCCAGGAAGTACAGTCACGGGATGTCTCTCCTCTCCTGCGGCAGGTCTCAACCAGGCCATTTTCAGGTTTTCCTCCCTTGTGCTGCTATGGTGGTGCTTTGCCATGAAGCCAGCTGAGCTGGTTGGTCCTGCTCGGCCTGCCTCTCCACCGGGCACTGGGGGTGCAGTGGGAAAGATGCCTGCCCTGCACCAGGATGTGCGTCCAACTCCCCATCTCCCTAGCAGTGACCAGCAATCAGAGAACACAGATGAGCAGCTCAGTGCTCTGCCGGACCCGCAGAAGAAAGGCTGTGAAGGGCCGATTCTGGAATCTTCCGGAAGCCCCTTGCACACCCCTGGGGTTGAGGCTGCAGGAAAAGTAGGCCCCTGGTTTGGCTGCTGTCCTACAGCTGCCCCACAGCAGGTGCTGGGAAGGGTCTGTGGGAGCCACTTTGGCCCCTAGGCTCCTGGACACCCCACCACCAAACACACACACGGACACACAGACACTGGAGGGACACCTGGGCTCTGGTTCAGAATAGCACCTGGTCATGGCTTTGAAAGTGTGTCACGAGGGATGGCATCTATACTGCGTGAAAACATTTCCTCACACTGGAAAAGAGAAAGCGGTGAGCATCTATTATCTACAGTATATTTAAAAGTTTTCCAATTGCTTGTGTTCTTTTATGTCGGTACTGATACTTACAGAGCCGTTTAAATAAAACACTCGCCGGTTTGTAATTATTGGACAACTTGAAATAAGGACGCCTACAGTCATTCCTGTTATTTAGCTGGGCCTTCGTGGAGATGGTGCCGGAGGGGGAGAGCTTGGCTTGTTTCCCCCTCTGATTGCAGGCACCGAAGGGGGATGTGTTCAGAGAGATCTTCCAGATGTGAGGAAATGCGTCTTTGTGCCTGACCAGCACTCGCTCCAGCTCCTTACATCTGATGGACAGACGGAAGGCGAAAGCGGTCGCCTCCACTAAAGTGCTTTGTTCTCACAGCGCGGAGGATTCCCATCTGACCGCCCATCAGTTTTGCTGGGAGGTGGTGTCTCACACGCTGTCTCCACGGCTCTGCAGAGCGAGGCCTGCGGCTGAGTCTCCCAGGGCGGAGATGCGCTGCGCGGGGACAAGAGGCTGGGGCCCTGCGCGGCCGGCCCTCAGCCCTCGGGCTCCTGGCCTGGCGGCCGAGAAGCGTCCTTACAGCTTGTCTTCGCTGCGGCGGCTGCCGTTTCCTGCCTCCTCGCGGCGGGAGCCCAGGCTCCAAACGCCTCCCGGCCCATCCGGGCTCCTCCAGAGGCAGAAACGGTTGCTCCAAGGCCACCACCAGGCCTGACCTCTAACCTGACTCTGGTCACTGCACTCTAAGTGGTGACTGCTGCCCGGAGCCACCACGACGGGAGGGGCTTAGGGAGCAGGGGTGACAGCAGCCCCGGGCTCTTGTGGATGTTAGTAGTCTAGCGCTGTTGCCCACGTGCCCCCCGTGAGCTTCCTCCCGCTCACGGTCCTGGAACCAAAGATGCAGGGCAGGGCCCGGGGCTGCGCCTCCATCTACAGAGTCTGCCTGTTTATTCGCAGGGGAGTCGTCAGCACTGCCTCTTCTGTTTCCCTGTGGAACCCTCAAAAGAGAAATCCTGCCGAAAATGCTCAAGGACAAAGGTGACTCCCCCTCCTCTCTGGGGTCCACCGAGAGCCTTCGCGGTGGCGGAGTGTCAGCCCTGGGGACCTACAGGGAGAGCAGGCCTGGGATGGACCGGCCAGGCCGGAAGGTGCAGGGTGCAGTCCTCCCTCCTGCTTCAGATCTGCTCCCATCCACCCGCTCAGCTCAGCTGGGAGCATGCAGAGGGGCACGGGGCCTTCCCCGGGAGGTCGGGTGGGCAGTGGCATGGTGGCGACCCTGGGGCGGGCACGTGTGGAAACCAGTCCAAGCGTGGAGCTGATCTCATCACGCACTCAAAGCAGCGTCCGCCAGCCCAGCCAACCTAGGATCGCTCCAACTCCATCCCCCCGGGCTCCATCCCAAGGTGCCAGGGACCAAGGTGTCCAGGCCCTAGTAGGCTCATGGCTTCAGCCCGCAGGCTGGTAAAACTCCCTCCAAGCTCTGCCTGCAGCCCTGGCCCTCAGTGTGGGATTCCACACGGACAGCATCCGTGGGGGAGCGTCCCGGGCCAATCTCGCGGGCAACCCACACAAACACGGGAACAAAAGGCATCCGTGGTATGAAGGAAGGCTGAGTTTTCGGGATCCTCATCCTTCCTCTGCCATCTCAGCCTCCTTTACCGCGTGAGCCACTCCGCAGTGTTAAGCAGGGTGCAGAGGGCCGGCCGAGTCTGCTGGCACTGAGCCCACACCTCTCAGCTCCCGGCGGCTTGTTCCGGGAGGGTCCTGCAGCACCGAGCGGTCTCCACTACCTGTGCCCCACAGTGTGTTCCCTGAGCAGTGAAGTCTGTCTTCTGGCTTGTGTCCCGATTGTGTCCAGGGATTCCCGTGGAGAGCTTAACCGTCTACCAGACGATCCCACACCCAGGGATCCAGGGGAACCTCAACAGCTACTATTCCCAGCAGGTGTGTGGGGTTTCCAGGGAGCTGGGTGGGCAGGGCAGAGGGGCGCAGGCCTCCCGACGCTGGTTCTGCCATCCCCAGCTGTGCCACTTTGAGGAGGCCATCTTTTGGCTCCATCTCTGTATCTGGGAAGTCGGAATAGACCTATCTCTAAGGTTTTTACAAGGATTAAAGGAGATAATTTACACAAAGCCCTTTGCACAGCCTGGGGCCAACAGTGGCCTTGATGTCATTCTTTATGGTGTGCGGCACTGGTGGAGCTACAGGGCAGAGGCTGGAGAGGGGCTGGGCCCACACTGGGAAGGCCTTCAGGGCCCACGGGAGAGTCTGGATTGAATTTGGGAGGCCACAGGAACCTTTGGAGGCTTCAGTCAGAAGGGTGCACGGTTCTTGTTTGGGCTGATTGAGGTTTTCCACATCTGTATCCAGTAAGACGCCTCCCCTTCCTCTCCCAGGACAGGCTTCTGAATGCCTGGCTGGTACTCGGAGACCCTGTTAGCACAAACCAAAGCTTTCAGAAAGGCCAAGTGGGCCAGTCTGTCTGCTGTCTGCTCCATTTCCGGAAGGGATGGGGCATTGATGGGGAGCCGGGCTGCTGCCTTACTTGATCAGCGCGCTTTGGCCACACAAGCTAGAGGCATTGTCCACTCTCCTGGCCACTGGGTCCACGGTGCCTGTGTCCTCTGATCTGGGGGCCTGCAGAGCGACCAAGGAACAGCACCCAGCCTCTCCCATCGCACCCCTCTCTAAACAGTTCCCGACCTGAACTCCGCCTCCGTGGAGCCCAGAATGCCAGCATCAGTGGGGACCCTCCTGCTGTGGATGTACCTGGGCTGCCTGGGGCTGCTTCCTGGGGCTCTGGGGGCTGATGGTGACGGGTGGAGGAGCATCTCTTTGCTCGGCCCCAAGGCAAGGGATTGACCTTGTTCTCTCTGCCTGCAGGGCATTCCCGCCAGCATCACGTTTTTCAGTCCCTCTGGCCTGACACACAGTCTCAAGCATATTCAAGAGTTATCTGGTGACAACATTGACCAGATTAAGGTGAGGTATTCAGTGGGCTTTTGATCTTTTTCAGATGCTCTTTTTTTTTTTTTTTTAACTTTTACTAACTAGCCTAGAGTTTCCATGTGAAGTCAAAGCACTCCTGACCTCACAGACGCCCTGATGGAAGCTCTGTAGAAAAGGCAGGGCTGGACTACCCTGGTGGTCCAGTGGTTAAGACTCTGCACTTCCATTGCAGAGGGCTCGGGTTCCATCCCTGGTCCGGGAAGTTCCACATGCTGCACGGAATGGCCAAAAAAAAGGCCGGGCTTTAGGAGTCCCAGGCCCCCCGCTTGCAGCTCAGCAGTGCCACTTCCTGGCTGGTGCTCTTGAACTAGTTACTTAACCTCTCTGAGCCTGTCCCCTCATTTGTAGCATGAGGATAATTATCCCTTTGTGGCTTTTATAGACATGTGTATGGTCTTCCCTGATAGGTTATTCTCAGGATTAGACGGAAGAATTCAGGCAAAGTCCTTAGCTCAGGGCCTGGCACAGGTATTAGCATCCTTTCCCTTTTTCCCCATCTAACTGTCTTGAAATTGTTCTAAAAGTGATTCCCCTTTTCACGTCTTTTAATTCAAAGGATTTCCGTTCGCACCTTTAGGGACTGTTTGTTAGGAGTCTACAAGTAGTCACAGCCCTGTGGTGCCTGTGATGGGGATGTTCTTAAAGGGCTCAAGGGGGACTGAGGAGGGGTCGTGGGTATGACTGGGAGCGCCCAGGACAGGCCGCTAGCATTACAGGCACTCACACAGCCAGGAGTGAAGGCCCTTACCTTTCATGACAGGTGCAGCTCACAGCACCCCTGGGGGAGTCAGGACTGTCTCAGTAGTATACACACTGCCGGCCTCTCCCTCCACCCCGGCTGGCACGCTCACTCCGGTCGGTGCCCAAGGATGGAGCACGGGCATCAGCACTGAGCTATCGGGGGCACTGCTCAGGGACACTGTCTGCAGCCCGGGTCCAGCCCTGCAGGCAGGCTCCATGGGCCCGGCCAGGCCCGTGGTGGTGAGTCCGAGAGCGGAGCTCTCCAGACACCCTCTCTCCTGTGACCAGACAATTTCAGAGGGAATAAAAGGCTCACGGGGAAAAGTCATCTTGTGACCAAGCTGCTTCTCCTGAAATTATGTCTGCTGTTTGCTGGTTCCCAATCTCAGGAAGTTTCTTTCCTCCTTCCTTCCTTCCTTCCTTCCCTCCTTCTTTCTTCCTTCCCTTCCCTTCCCTTCCCTTCCCTTCCCTTCCC